AAGATAGATATAGAGACAGTAAAGCAACAAACAGACTGTCAAATTATAACGGGGAGGGTAGGGAGATCTGGGGGAGATAATAGATCAACTGAAGGACTTGTATACATGCATATAAGTACAACCAATGGACACAAAACTCTAGGGAGGGAGGGGATGTATGGGAGGGAGGCAATGTTAAAATATGTACATAGATAATAATTTAATAAAAAATGTAAAACAAAAACAAAAAATAAAGTGGTCAAATAAGTACACATGTGATACAGATTTTGCAAAATCGTGGAGGTGATACGAGGAAGGCTGAAGACAAAAAACAATGCAGAGCTAAAGGCCTCTGGACCAGTGCTCCCGGCTGATGGTGACTGTGAGCTGATTCCTGTCTGGCCACGGCTGCCCTCCCAGCAGCATCCAAGACATCAGAGGACCTCAGCACGGTCCTACAACGTCACTCTGGGCTGAAGCCTGCTTCAGCAAAATGGATCCAGTTACTTGAGGTGCTGAGTGGAGCAGTAAATTCTTTAGAGCACATCTAAAAAGGGACTGCTCCACAAAAGCCAAGTTCTGTGCTCTGACACCGGAAGTGGAGAAAAGGGCAGAAGATTTAGTTAGCTGCCCAAAAACAAGTCTTAAAAACATCTCACTTGACAGAGACCACACAGTTTCCAAAGCGACGCAAGTGCTGATGCGTTATGCATTGTACAAGGGAATGGTCTCCAAGCTCGCAGGTGTGAGAGAGGACGGCAGTGGGTACCAGACTCACTTAGCATGGACACCCTGGCCCAGGGACCTGGGTGTGGATGCCCCAAGACTCCGCTAATACTGGGTGGGCTGCAGTACTGTCCGGAGGCTCTGACAACTGGTCTCTTCTGAAGTCAGAATCCACACTGGTACTTGAAGCTTGGCTTGGAATTTGGGTCAAGAGGAGGGGTCCATTTTGGGTCATTTGACCTTTAGTTACTGTTTTCCTGTTTGTTTGATTGAAGTTCAGGCATGTAGGAGAGTATATTGTGAAGAGACTGGTGAAGGGAAAGGAGAAGAATCTCCAGTGTCTGAGAGAGGGAGGGGCTAGTCAGAAGCAGGTGCAATGGAAGAGGAAGACCAGAGCTGCATGCCTTGAAAGAAAGCAGGTGGGCCGATAGAGACTAGGCCTTGTCCTCCTTTCTACTTCTCCAAAAGCGATTCTTTATCCCCTGGATAAGCCAAGAGAGGAGGGAAAAACAAAACAGCAAATAAATGAAATGAATAACAACAAAGGACTCCATTAGCTAAATGTTCTTGGGAAATCAGAGTCCTGTCCAGCACAGGAGAGTTGGAAACAATACCCACGGCACAACCAGAATCAGGACTTGGTGAACCATTATGCTCTGACTCTGCTTAATTCATTTAGTAGAATGCTTGTGCCAACACTTTATTGAGCGTGTGAGGAGGGTTCTACTAAGGGTACCAGTTAATTATGCAGATTTTTTTCTGATAGAGTTACTCATATGTTGATATATATGCCATTTGATATGTATGCTATTTTGTTGTATGGACAGCAAGCTTCAAAACTTCATATGTCAGCCGAGGCTGGTTTGGCTCAATTGATAGAGAGTAGGCTTGAGGACTGAGAGGTCCCGGGTTCGATTCCGGTCAAGGGCATGTACCTTGGTTGCGGGCATATCCCTGGTAGGGGGTGTGCAAGAGGCAGCTGATCGATGACTCTCTCTCATCGATGTTTCTAGCTCTCTATCTCTCTCCCTTCCTTTCTGTATAAAATCAATAAAAATATATTTTTTTAAAAAAAACTTCATGTCAAATTTGCCGAAGGTGTTAGCATAACATAAATATTTTACCTTTAAAAATGTTTAATTTCATGCCAAAAAAAAAAAAAAAAGAGCATTTGTGGGAAGTGTTAATTCATTACTTTGTTTTGAAGATAAGTGCTGCTGAACACTTCCGGAAGCTTATGGTGAACATGCTCCATGTCAAGATACTTGTGAATGCTGGTTTAAAGACAAGAGCTAATTCCATGTCAAAGAAAAGAATGTCCAGTTCAATTGAAAAAGTTTGAAGACCAATTACAAGCATTATTGGATGGAGATGAGGGTCAACTCAAAAACAACTTTCAGAAAGATTAAACATTGCTCAGCAAACAATTTCCAATTGTTTAAAAGTTACAAGTAATGGCAAAGATCTTAAAGGAAGGAAAATGAGTGCCATTTCAACTGAACAGAAAACAAATAGAAAACCAAAAAGTCATCAGTGAAATGTTGCTTCAGTGACACAAAAGAAAGTCTTTTTTGCATAGAGCATTGACTGGCAATGAAAAGTATATTTATTTTGAGAATCCCAAATGCACACAATCCTGGGTTCATCCAGGTCAACCATCAACATTACTAAAAGGCCAAATCACTTCGGAAAGAAGACAATGCTCTTAGTTTGGTGTGGTGTACTATGAGCTCCTAAACCTGGTGAAATCATTAATACTGATCTCTACTGATAACAAATAATCAATTCGAACCACTCCTTGATAGTGAAACCACCAGAATGTGCCAGAAGACAGGGCAATGCAATTTTGCTTTCATGATAACACACCATCACACAATTCAAAATCAGTTCAAGACACATTAAAAGATCTTGCTGGGAAGTATTAACCCACCCGCTGTATTCACCAGACCTTGCTCCTTCAGATTAGCACTTGTTCTGATCAATGGCACACGCACTTTCTGAGCAGCACTTCAAAACATACCAAGAAGTGGAAATTGGGTTTCTGAATGGTTTGCCTCAAAACAAGAAAACTTCTGTTGGGACAGTATCCACAAATTACCTGAAAGATGGGGAAATGTGTAGCTAGGGAAGGATATTTCTTTGAATATTTTCAATATTTCTCTTGAAATGATTTTGTATTTTTTATTATAAAATCTGCATTATTAACCAGTACACTTAGTATATTGCACTAGGAGCTGATGCCCTAGACTATTTTTCAATGTCAATGTGTTAAATTATTAAATAAGAATTTTTATTAGATTAGGAGCCTTACTCCTCTACCCTAATGACAAGCTCCCTGACAACTTGGCTCACACACAACTAACTCCTGCTCCTGTTCAAAGACTTTGGGACACTTCCTGATATGTTTCTGGCTGCTGCAGCAGGTTAGTCTACTGGAACTGCTCACTGATAATCCTCATACACCTAAAACAGCCTCTTACAGAAGGATGAGTTTGAAATACCTGTTTCATACCAAAACACTGTGAACATATCAAGAATTATTCTCATTTAGATCTCTACACATCCTACCTGTGAATTATGGAGTCTTATCAGAGCAGACAATTGATCTAACTACCTGAATATGTACCTGAGCATAAGTGGTTTATCTGATTTCTGATTTAGGATTCAAATCCATAGCAGGATCCCTGTTATTTCTCTTTCCACAGCACCACCTGGTGGCCACAGCTCACACCACAGCAGAAGAGACCCACTGTGCAATGCTGGTGCTCCAGGCTTGGTCAGCATCTTCAGGGACCAAAGCAACTTTTTTTTTTTAATATATTTTATTGATTTTTTACAGAGAGGAAGGGAGAGAGATAGAGAGCTAGAAACGTCGATGAGAGAGAAACATCGACCAGCTGCCTCCTGCACCCCCCCCACCGGGGATGTGCCCGCAACTGGTGTACATGCCCTTGACCGGAATCGAACCTGGGACCCTTCAGTCTGCAGACCGACGCTCTACCACTGAGCCAAACCGGCTTCGGCCCAAAGCAGCTTTAACTGCAGGCAGTGCTCACAGTGGTTATGAGTTTAGGCTCCATAATCTGTCAGGCCCTGGTTCTGAACCCAGCTCCACCCCTTATTCTCTGGGCAAGTCTTAACATTGTCAAGATTTTGAATACAAAGAAGCAAAAAACATCCAACCGGAAAAGCAAAAACAAAAGAATCCAAAAAATTGAAGATAGTGTAAGAAGCCTCTGGGACAACTTCAAGCATACCAACATCAGAATTATGGGGGTCCCAGAAGAGAGAGAGCAAGATACTGAAAATCTATTTGAAGAAATAGTGACAGAAAATGTCCCCAACCTGGTGAAAGAAATAGACTTACAAGTCCAGGAAGTGTACAGAACCCCAAACAAAAAGAATCTAAAGAGGACCACACCAAGACACATCATAATTAAAATTCCAAGAGCAAAACTCAAAAAGAGAATATTAAAAGCAGCAAGAGAAAAACAGTTAGTTATCTACAAGGGAGCACTCATACGATTGTCAGCTGATTTTTCAACAGAAACCATGCAGGCCAGACGGGAGTGGCAAGAAATATTCAAAGTGATGAATAGTAAGAAATATTCAGATGTTACAATGGCAAAGTTGAGTCACTGTGACAGAGAACAAAGTTGAGTCACTGTGACAGAGAACAACCAAGATTACTCTACCCAGCAAAGCTGTCATTCAGAATTGAAGGGCAGATAAAGTGCTTTACAGATAAGAAAAAGCTAAAGGAGTTCATCACCATCAAACCAGAATTATATGAAATGCTGAAAGGTGTTCTTTAAGAAGAGGAAGAAGAAGAAAAAGGTAAAGATAAAAATTATGAACAACAAATACATATCTATCAACAAGTGAATCTAAAAACCAAGGGAATAAAAAATCTGATGAACAGTATTAACTGGTGAATATAATAGAATCAGGGGCATAAAAAGGGAGTGGACTGACAATTCTCAGGGGAAAAGGGAAGAGACTGAACAAAAATCATAACCTATGGATGAGGACAGTGGGGGGGGGGCGGTAAGGGCAGAGGGTGGGTGAGAACTGGGTGGAAGGGCGTTATGGGGGGAAAAAGAGGAACAACTGTAATAATCTGAAAATAAAGATTTATTAAATTTAAAAAAAAAGATTCACATGACCAGATAGTTATTTCTTATAGAATGTGGCCTACACAAGGACGAGTAAAGCTAAGTTCAACGTGACCGTTACTTCTAGCTGCACTTCACGGGGGCAGCATGGTGGATAGCGCAGGCTGTGGGCCACCACTCTCAGGCTGCTTTCTGTCTCATTTCACCCAGGAAGTCGTAGGTCTGCTCTGAAATGTCAAAAGGTTCATGGACACCCTCTGGTGACAGCAGAGCTGGGAGCGCGCCCTGGTTTTCTCGGTTTTGCTTCAGGAAGTCAGCGATGACTTTCCACCGCACGGCCTCGGTCTCTTCTTCTGCCCACCTGAACGGGGGCAGGAGTGTGGAGTGGAGAAGGGGCATCGCACAGTCGTGGTAAACGAGGAGAAACGCGGCCTTCAGGAACTCTGTGTCTCTCTGGGAAAACACACAACAGCTGTGAACGGATCTACATCATTAAGTGTTAAATTCTACCAAGTCTGTTGACTAAAAGCCATACAGCTGGGCGGAGGTGCCCAGTGCCTGGCGGTCGGGTCAGTGGCTCGGTACCGGGGAGGCAGCAGGAAGCAGCTCCTCAGTGTGAACGAGTCACCGAGTCCCACTGAGCTCGGCTGAGGGTGACTCCTCAAGACCAGAGCTCTCCTAAGGCACCGAGGGTGTCTCACACATCCTCCCAAGGAGAATGGGTGCTGAAGTCTAATTCCGGTGACAAGGGTGTGGGTCCAAGTAAATACAACAAAAGCACAACGTGAAGCCAGCTGTGCCCCTTACTTCCATCACAGCACATCAGACGATTAAGTGTAGAAGGGAAGGGCCGCCTGTGCTCTGCGTGAAATCCAGAGAAAGGACCCCAGCAGTAAGGACCCGCTGTCCGACTCTCCCACACGGACAGGCTGAGCGGGAATCACAGGGCAGGGCGCTCGGAAGGTGGAGGCGTCCCCACACTGTGGAGTCTGCACAGAGATGCCGCCCTCCAAGCACACCCTGTGCACAGGGCAATTCCCCCGGGTCCTAGGCCCAGCACCTTGCCCATGGCTACACCACAATAGTATTAAACCTCCAATTCTAGCCCGGCCGGCGTGACTCAGTGGTTGAGTGTCAACCCATGACCAGGAGGTCACAGTTCGATTCTCAGCCAGGCACATGCCGGGGTTGCGAGCTCAATTCCCAGTGTGGGCATGCAGGAGGCAGCCAATGGATAACTCTGTTTCTCTTTCTCTCTCTCTCTCTCTCCCTCTCTCTCTCTCTCCCTTTCTCTTTGAAGTCAATAAAAATATTTATTTTAAACTGACAATCTTGGCAAAGATCAAATAAGGATACAATATGGATACAATATGGATACTTTTTTTTTCAACTTTTAGGGTTTTTAGTTTGTAGATAATTAAGACTTCATAAGTCCAAAACACCATGGCCCATGGGTCCATGGAGCCCCTGTTTTTATAAACCAAGTTTTATAGAAACAGCTGTGCTCAGATGTTACAATGGCAAAGTTGCGTCACTGTGACAGAGAACATAGGGCCCAAAAAGGCAAAAATACCGACCATGGGGCCCTTCCCAGAACTGTCCTTGGACGGCAGGGTGGAGCAGTCAGTGTGCTGCTCACTGATGGGGATGGTGCTCTGGTTTGGAATGACCACGGGGCACACCCTGTGTTCCCAGTGTCTGACACGGCTCGGGCAGTTTTCTTTTTCCTCCTTCTCACCTGGTGTGCACTTTGAGAGCAGGAGGAATTTTTTTTTTTAATAGGAGAAATTTGGTAGTCAACTGGGAGCTTTGGTTTAGAATCTCCCTTCAACTAAATGACACTCAGTGACCTGAAATGACTCCCGATCCAGCGTCGGTTCACCTCAGGAATCGGCACCCAGACACTCCTGGGACGTGTCTTTACAACCGTGTAAGGGACTAGGAGGAATATGACAGGGCGCCGTTAGCCTAAAAGGAGCCTGTGTTAGAATGTGTGAGCAGTGACACTGTGGATGTCAATGCAGATGAATCACGAGAATTCTGGTGTTTTCCTATTACACAGTGTTTTACAAAGTATTTAAAAAGATATTAGCTTGTAAGAGAATGCAATAAATAACTTCAAAATGCAATGGGTATTTAATTTTAAGGCGTGCCTTTAACATTTATGTAAAACGATTTGTACTCATTCAGTAGAAACTCATCTGGCCACTAGGTCAAGCTAGCAAAAAACGACTGGTTCGCAACGCGTTAAGTGCATGTGGAAAAGCAGGTTACCTTCTCTGATCTTTTTAATGTACTTTCTTTCTCAGCCCACGAACTCTGAAAAGGAAGCAAATGCTATGTTAATCTGAGGGTTCACAGTCTTTGCCACACGCCTGCAAGTTTACTGTAATTAAGCTGGTGCCGGGGTTTAGAACCCTGTCAGAACCGCCACCGTGAGAGCGGTCTGAGGACGCCACTTCTAACCACGAAGCCAGACCGGCCAGGCAGAAGCCCGTGCTTCTTCCACGTTAAACCAATGTAAGATCAGAATCAGTGAACGCAAACACACACATTCAAACTGCACAAACAGCCAAAACCGGTTTGGCTCAGTGGATAGAGCGTCGGTTTGCGGACTCGGGGGTCCCAGGTTCGGTTCCGGTCGGGGGCGTGTGCCTTGGTTGCGGGTGCATCCCCAGTGGGGGGTGTGCAGGAGGCGGCTGGTCGGTGTTTCTCTCTCATCGATGTTTCTGGCTCTCTGTCCCTAGCCCTTCCTCTCTGTGAAAAGTCAATAAAATATATATATTTTTTAAAAAAACTGCACAAACACAGCACCTGAACAATGAAACACTAGTGAGCTTTTCAGGCGAGCCAGTAGAGGTGGAAAACTGCCAAGTACCACACCCGTCTCCAGTTCTGTCTGCTGGACGATGACAATGGTCACGGGACATGAATGTGTTCAGTTTTGCAAGTGAATATTCTACCTGCCCACGGGGCTTCACCAATGCTCTTTTACAGAAATAAGAACCCCAAGTTCAGGTAGCCCCACGGAAGTTGGGATTGAAGCCGCAGTGCCAGCTCTGCACAGTATACCCAAGGGGTGTCCAGGCTCTAGCTGCTTGCTCCTGGGCCTCACACGGTGCCTGTTAGCCGGTACCTTCCTCTGGCACCTGAGTACATGCTTTCCGTGGATGTATTGACCTTCCTCAGTGGGGAGGCCCTGGGGTGGCCATGGCATTTGGCTCCAAGACAAAGAGTCTCCATGAAACAAAGAAGTTTCCCACCGAGACACACCGAGACCACAGAGGTGCGCTTCCCCTTCCTCCCCCTGCAGGAGTCTCGTCCCAGATGCTCACAGTTGGAAGAACCACCTTAGGGCTCCTCCCCCGATGGCGGCTGCGCCTGGGACCAAAGGGTTTGAAAAGGACCCTTAAGGCCAGAGCTCTTCACTAACCAGTCCAGGAGCCATTATCATCATCAAAGCACCACCAACAAGCTGAACTTTGTTATAATAACAGTAGGAGGCTCACACATCACAAACTGTAAGGAATCTGACTTAACGCAAACAGGCTGGTGTATGACCTTTTCAATGTATTGCTGGAGCTGGTTTGCTAATATTTTATTGAGGAATTTAACATTTATGTTCATCAGGCGTAATGGCCTATAATTTTATTTCTTTGTAGTGTCTTTATCGGGTTTTGGAATTAGGATAATGCTGGCCTCATGAGATGAGTTTATCTTTTCCCCTTGAATTTTTGGGAAGTTTGAGGATAGGTATTAGTTCTTTGAATGTTTGGTAAAATTCACCTATGAAGCCATCCTGTCCAGAACTTTTGTTTGCTGAGAGTTATTGGTTTTTTATTATTATTACTGCTTCCATTTCATTAGTTGGCATTGGTCTATTCAGGTTTTCTGATTCTTCCTAATTGTTTTGGAAGATTGTTTCTAGGAATTTATCCATTTCACCCAATATGTTGGTATATAGTTGTTCATAGTATTTTTCTTAGTCCTTTGTGTTTATGTAATGTCAGTTGTTATTTCTCTTTCATTTTTTCTTGATGAATCCAGTTAAAGATTTGTTAACCTTGTTTATCTTTTCAAAGAACTAGCTCTTGGTTTCATTAATCTTTTGCATTGTTTTTGTTTTGTTTTGTTTTTTAGTCTTTGTGTGATTTATTTCCACTCTGATCATTATTTCCTTCCTTCTACTTACTCTGGGCTTTGCTTGTTGTTCTTTTTCTTGCTCTTTTAAATACAGGGTTAAATTGCTCAAGATCTTCCTTGTTTCTTGCAGTAGGCCTATAATCATGCTATGAGCTTCCCTCTCAAGACTGCTTTCACTGTATCAAATAGATTTTGAGTTGTGTGCTCATTTTCATTTGATTCCAGGTAATTTTTTTATTTCTTCCCTTATCTGTAACCCATTCGTGTTTAATAACATGCTAATTAGTCTACATGTTTTTGAATGTTTTTCAGGTTTTTTATTGTAATTAATTTCTAGTTTCATACCACTGTGATCTGAGAAAATGCTTAATATGATTTCAATCTTCTTGAACTTGTAGAGACTTATTTTGTGTCCTAACATGTGGTCTTTAAGAATGTTGCATGGGCACTTGAGAAGAATGTATATTCTGCTTCTTTTGAAATAATGTTTAGTAAATATCCATTAAACTGACCTGATGCAGTGTGCAGTTTCCTTGTTATTTTTTTTGCCTGGAAGATCTATTCATTGATGGTAATGGGGGTGTTTAAAATCCCCTACTATGAAAATAAATAAATAAATAAATAAATAAATAAATAAATAAATAAATAAATAAAATCCCCTACTATGACTATATTGCTGTCAATCTTTCCTTTAATGTCCACCAAGATTTTCTTTATATATTTAGGTGCTCCTGTGTTGGGTGCACATGTTTACAAGGATTATATCCTCTTGTTGGGTCAATCCCTTTAGTATTTTGTAATCTTCTTTGTCTCTTGTTATTACCTTGTTTGAAAGTATATTTTGTCAAATATTAATATTACTATACAAGCTTTCTTTTTTTCCTTTCCATTTGCATGAATAATTTTTTTCCATCCTTTCACTTTCAGTTATGTGACTACTTTGTTCTGAGGTGGGTCTCCGATAGACTGCATATAGATGGGTCATGTTTTCTTATCCATTTTCAGCTACCGTGTCTTTCAGAGCATTAAATCTGTTTACATTGAAGGTTATTATTGATAAGCATTTATTTTTTGCATTTTATACTTTATACTTACATTCCTCTCTCTATATATTTCTTCTTCTTATAGCAGGTCCTTTAACATTTCTTGAAATACTGGTTTAATGGTAATGAACTCCTTTAGCATTTTTTTCCTGAGAAGTTCCTTATTTCACCTTCAATTTTTAAATAATAGTCTTGCAGGTTAGAATAGTCTTGGTTGCAAGTCCCTGCTTTTCATTACTTTGAATATTTCACACCAATCTTTCATGCCCTGATGTGTTTCTATTGAGAAATCAGCTGACTGCCTTATGGGAACTCCCTTATAGGCAACTGTCTCTCGATGTCTTTTTTTTTTTTCCCTATCTCTTGATGCCTTTAAGATTCACTCTTTGTCTTTAACCTTTGCCACTTTAATTATATGTCTTGGCTTGGGTGTCTTTTAGTTTGCTGAACTTCATTGGGACTCTGTTTCCTGAACTTGGAAATTTTTTTCCTCCACCAGGTTAAGAAAGTTTTCAGCCATTATTTCTTCAAACATTGTTTCTTGTCTGTCCCTTGCTCTCTCTTCTCCTTCTGGTATCCTTATAATGTGAATAATTGATTGGCTGTCTCCTGCACACCCGCCACTGGGGATCAAGCCCAAAACCTGGGCATGTGCCCTTGACCGGAATCAAACCTGGGACCCTTCAGTCCACAGGCCAGCACTCTCTCCACAGAGCAACATTGGTAGGGCTCATGGCTTTTTAAAAATTTGACATTTATTATAGATGTTTTGCTAAAATGGAAGCATAAATATGGCAGGCCAGAGTGGAGACTTGAAAGTGTACCCATAAAAATGTAAGTTATCTCAAGTTTAACATGACCAACTTGGAGTGGGAATTTCCCATATAATTGTGCCAGCAGTGGGAAACCAGGTGGTGCACTCCCCAGGCTGCTGCTGTAGCAACAGAATGTTCATCCTAGGAAGGTGGCATCTGGGTCTTTCAGGCAGACTGAAGACCCACTGATTTTCACCACCAGATGCTATGTGGGCTCCTCTTCCCATTCCTGTTGCTCTGGGTTCTCTCTCCATGGGGTTGAGACCCCTGATACTGGGAGGCAGGAGTTTTGTAGCCACAATATCCCTCCAGCTTCTCAGCCACTGCCGCACCTGGGTGTGGGGGCCAGCCCTCTCCACTCTTCTTGCCAGTCTCTATGTGGCCTCTTTATAAATCCTTGGTTAATATATTTCAGGCTAGCTGGCCTTCGGTTAGTTATGCAGGTTGACTGCTCTATAATTTAGCTGTAAACCCAGTTTAGGGTGGGAAGCAGATGGGTGTATTCCCATCTACTCTGTAGCCATCTTGGGATCTATCCTGTAATGTCTTCCACTCCCATCTCAGCACGTCAAAACCAGACTTGGCTCCAGTGTGTACCAGGTCCATCTCACCCAGGAACTCTTTAATGGAACAGTCCCTGGTCCTCCTTTGCTGCCTTATTAGGTCTCCAAGGACCTGGGTCGTGCTTCCCCTGTGGCACCTGCCATGTTATCTGTACATCTGCCTTGTGGGCATACAGGAATTCCAATACTTGTTGATCCTGTTACGATAAGTTGGACTTTATAAAATTGACATTTTGAAGGTCAAAAATGGCTGAAAATTGAAGAATTCATGTGGTTCAACCAGCTCCTATTTCATGCAGCAGTCAGTATATGTCGAATTAAATAAAGAATGATATGTGTGCCCTGATTCGCCCCCTGAGAACTCAGTTCATATATCTAACAAACCATTTTGGATTTTTGCTCTTAGGCCACAATTAGTGGCCATCTTAAGCTAAGGAACGAACAACAAATAAGAGATTGCAACAGTGTACACAACATGCTTATTGCTGTGTAATAAGCCCTTCACCTACATATTGGGTGCTGGACAGCCTGGAAAAGTAGCACTTATGCTAAGAAAGGAAGGATTAGCTCAAGTCAGATAAAAAGTGGACGCAGATCAGGAGATGTCATCCAAATAGGGGTAAGAAAAAAAAAAAAGAATAGGTCTCAGAATGCACTAATGTGTGTTTAATTGCTTTCAGAACCCACCAGATCCCATCATGATACTACCCACCCTGAGTGCATCCATCACGTCAGGCTGCTCCAAGAGCTTGGGGAAGGTGGCCAGTACAGGATTACTGATCACATCTGAAATACAAAGACCAAAAAGGATTTACACAAACTTTACCCAACAGACATAGCATATATTCAAATTGAAATCACTGTGTCAGAAGATTTGTTGACAACACATTCTAACACTTTAACCTCTAGGAGCTCAAAACTGTCCCCTCAACCTCCATCCCCCACTATATCCACACCACAGATGTGTGAGTCTTATACCAAGTAAACAGAGATTTTAGGAGGGGAACATCCTATTATTTCTGTGTTTTCTCCAACCTCACTTTCCTCAAGACTGGTCTCACCTTTGGAAGCAGAAGATACAGGCCAACATAGGTTACATTTACTCAAAGCATGATGCATTATTGTACAAAAGGAAATTGCAAAGACCCCCTTACCAGCACTTTGCATGCTCAACCTGTCTTTCAGGAGTACATCTCCAAGAATTTGGCGATAAAATATCAACAAATGAATGTAGGACATGCTTCCAATTAATGTTTCCGGCAGTAAACTATTAAAGAAGAAAATAAATGTTTTCACTAAACAATATCCTACACTCCAACTTACAATGTTTTTTAAATGTGTATTTATTACTTTAATGAACTATTCCAAGTTTTGTTTCATCATTGGGAAAAATGCAACAATTATATGGGAAATTCCCACTCCAACTTGATCACGTTAAACTTCAGATAACTTACATTTTTATGGGTACACTTTCAAGTCTCCACTCTGGCCTGCCATACTTATGCTTCCATTTTAGCTAAATGCCCATATTAAATGTCAAAAATTTTAAAAGCCATGAGCCCTACCAATGTTGCTCTGTGGATAGAGTACTGGCCTGTGGACTGAAGGGTCCCAGGTTTGATTCTGGTCAAGGGCACATGCCCAGGTTTTGGGCTTGATCCCCAGTGTGAAGTATGCAGAAGACAGCCAATCAATTATTCTCTCTCATCATTATTGTTTCTATCTCTCTCTCTCCTTCTCCCTTCCTCTCTGAAATCAATTTAAAAAAAAAAAAAAGGCATGATTACGTGTTTTGGTAATAAAGAAACTAGTCCAGCTACATGTTGTTGTTGTTGTTGTTTTTGTTTTGTGTGTGTGTGTGTGTGTGTGCGCGCGCGCTCGCGTTTTAAATATATTTTATTGATTTTTTTACAGGGAGGAAGGGAAAGGGATAGAGAGTTAGAAACATCGATGAGAGAGAAACATCGATCAGCTGCCTCTCTCAACACCCCCTACTGGGGATGTGCCCACAACCAAGGTACACGCCCTTGACCGGAATCGAACCCAGGACCTTTCAGTCCACAGGCCGACGCTCTATCCACTGAGCCAAACCGGTTTCGGCCAGCTACATGTTTTAACAAAGCCATGTGGCCATCTCCCCTGATGTGATGAATGCAGAAGAAATGTGAGTTGATTGTTCACGGTACTGGGTGGGACCTGGGAGGGTGTGGAAGACCTGGACTGAATTCTGACTTTGCTACTTCCTAGCTATATATCTTCAGGTTAATTATTCTCCTTGTGTTTTGATTTCCTCATTTGTAGAATACAGAAATAATACCTGAATTTCAGAAGGCTAATAAAAAGATTAAAATGTGGGATGTTCAATGCAATGCACAGTATACAGTAAGGGTTCAAAAACAAAATAAATTTCAGCATTGAAGTTAAATTATTATCAGTTTAAAATAGATTCTTATAACTATGTGATCCCCATAGTATCCACAAAGAAAAAAATCTATAGAATGCACACAAAAGGAAATGAAAACGAGTAAGTGTATCATTACAAAAACATAAAACACAAGAGAAGGACCCTATCAGGTTTAACTCAGTGGATAAAGATTGGCCTGCAGACTGAAGGGTCCCAGGTTCGATTCCAGTCAAGGGCACATGACCTGGTTGAGGGCTCAATCCCAAGTAGGGAGCATGTAGAAGACAGCTGATCAATGATTTTCTCTCATCATTGATATGTCTATCTCTCTCTCTCTCTCCCTTCCTCTCTGAAATCAACAAAAATACATAAATAAATAAATAAATAAACAAGCAAACACAACAGAAGGTAAGAAGGAAAGAAATAAGGGACAAAACAAATCTAAAACATACAGAAAATCAAAACAAAATGGCAATAGTAAGTCCTCTCCTATTTAACTATATCCTATCCTATATAATAAAAGGCTAATATGCAAATAGACCAAACAGCGGAGAACTGAACAACCAATTGCTATAACATATACTGACCACCAGGGGGTATGTGTGGAACATGGCGAGCGTCGGCAGCAGAAGGCAGAGTGCAGAACATGGTGGGCATAAGCCACGGCTGGATGGTGGAGCAGGTGAGCAGGGACGCCAGACCAAGGTGGGGTGCCAGTCACTGTCATCAGGGCAAGCCTCTAGTGGTTACTGAAAATTCCTTGCTCCCACGCACCAGGGTCCCACCCAGCACTCACACCTGCTGCTGGTGGTGGAGCCACTGCTTGCACCCACTGCCGGTGCCTGGTGCAGGCCCCAATTGCCCCTCAGGACTTCTCCACCTCTCCCTACTCTTGAGGGGCATTCAGGCAGTAGCCACTGCTTGCAGCCACTGATGGCACCTGCCCCACTCACACCTGCTGCTGGTACTGGTCCCAATTGCTCCATGCCGTCAGCAGGTGCAAGCAGAGCTGCCAGCAGACAGGGGCCCAGGGGCCGCAGCAGGAGGGCCGAGCGGGTGAGTGGAGGATGGGCCGAGACCCTCCCCTCTGCCACCACAGCCTCTCAGCCCACATTTCTTTCAAGGTGCATGAATTTGTGCACTGGGCCCCTAGTACTACCTATAAAGAGACTCACTCTAGATCTAAGGACACTCATAAGTTGAAGATGAAAGGATGGACAATGACATTCTATGCAAATAATAAACAAAAGTGAGCAAGGATGACTAATAATAATATCAGACAAAATAGTCCTTAAGCCAAAAAACTGTTACCAAAGTCAAAGGACATTATATAATGAAAATAGGGTCCATTCACCAAGAATATATAAAAATTATAAATATATACACATCAATATTAGAACTTCTAAGTATATGAAGCAAGCATTGACAAATTGAAGACAGTAGGAGACAGATCTGTAGTATAGCAGACTTCCATACCCCACTTTCTTTTTACCTTTATTACAGGTGTACTCAACCTTTTTCTCCCCACTGTCTCTTCCACCCGGTTCCTGCCCTGCCCTAGGCCTCACCACCCTATTCTCTATTTCCATGGGTAATGCATATACACATATATCTTCTTTGATTAATCTCTTCCCACCCACCCCTTCCCTCTGAGATTCATTAGTCTGTTCCATGTTTCCATGCCTCTGGTTCTATTTTATTCATCGGTTTATTTTCTTTACATTCCTTGTTCATTTATTTTTTAAATTCAATTGTTGGTAAATAATATTTACTGCCATCTTATTGTTCATATTTCTTCTTCTTCTTCTTTTTAAATAAGACCCTTAAACATCTCTTATAATACTGGTTTGATGGTATGAACTCCTTTAGCTTTTTCTTGTCTGTGAAGCTCTTTATCTGACCTTTCATTCTAAATGATAGCTTTGCTGGGTAGAGTAATCTTGGTTGTAGGTCCTCACTTTTCATCATTTTGTTTTTTGTTTTTTAAATATATCTTATTGATGATTATCTTTTTACATAGAGGAAGGGAGAAGGATAGAGAGTTAGAAACACCGATGAGAGAGAAACATCAATCAGCTGCCTCCTGCACATCTCCTACTGGGGATGTACCCGCAACCAAGGTACATGCCCTTGACTGGACTCGAACCTGGGGACCCTTCAGTCTGCAGGCCAACGTTCCGTCCACCAAGCCAAACTGGTTAGGGCAGCATCACTTTGAATATATCTTGCCATTCCTTGTGGCCTGCAAAGTTTCTGTTGAATAATCAGCTAACAGTCATATGGGTTCTCCCTTGTGGGTAACTGCTTTTCACTTTTTATGTCTTTGATATTCTAACTCTCTTGAAGCTCTTATTAAGATCCTTGAGTTTTTGTATAACCATTTTGAACTCTATATCTAGTAGTTTGCTTGCTTCCATTTAATTCAGTTCTTTTTCTGGAGATTTCTTCTGCTCTTTCATTTGTGCCATTTGTCTTCGCATTTTGGCTGCTTTCCTGTGTATAGATAGATATGCTATGTCTCCTGGAATTGGTAAAGTGACTCTGTGTAGTGGGTGTCCTGTAGAACCCAGAGGCTCATCCTCCCCAGTCACCTGAGCTGGGCACTCTAGGTGCACCCGGTGGGGATGTGTGCACTGGCTTGTTATATTAAGCCTTGACTGCTTTGGCATCACTGGGAGGAACTGACTCCAGGCCAGTTGGCTGTGAGGACCAGCTGCGATTGCAGTGGGAGAGCTGCGTGCAGTAGACACTCCAGTGGAGCAGGGCTTGTTTCAGGGGGCTTTGCTGCCATTAGTTCCATACCTTGAATGTGTAGCTTATGGATGTGTAGCTATAACCTGGTATGGTCTGATTATATGATGTCCACTGGGTGCACAATTCAGCCACTGCTTGGGCCACCTGGCAAGAGTTACAGAGAGAGCTGCAAATGGCTGCTACTTGCATTGGGCTAGGAAGTGCCCAGGCAAGGCGGTGCTAGTGCAGGGTCTTGTGCCTTTAATGGATAGGTTTGACTCTAGCTTTGCAGATTTTAGCAAAGTCTGAAGCCTGAGGTAGGACAGGCCACTGACATGGAAAATCGGCTACACACAGTGTGGGTGGGGGCTGCAAATTGGATGAGGAAAAGTCTTAGAGAATCACCAGGGTGGAGAAAACAGTTGGGTCAAGCTGATGGAAACTCAGCTATGGCTGCTAGTCAAGGCTGCAGTCAGGAGTGACTATAACAGAAGAGCTGCTGTGCAGGAGACACCCCTATGGAGCAGGACTTGCTTAAGTGGGGCTTTGGTGCTCCACTTAAGTGTGTAGCCCATGAATGTAGTAAAGTTATGATCTGCCATGGTCATATCCTACTTTCAATAAGGAACAGGACAACCAGGCAGAAGATTAATAAAAATTAATCTTTGGGATGCATACAAGAGGACTTGAAACAACACTGTGGACAAATTGAGCTAACAGACATATTCAGAACACTGCCCAATAACAGCAGAATACACATTTTCTCAGGTGTACATGGAACATTCTATGGGCTAAACCAAATGTAGGGCACAAAACAATTCTTAATAGACTAAAGACTGAAATCATACAAGTATCTTTTCTATCACAATGGCATGGAACTAAAAATCAAGAGCAGAACGAAAGTTAGAAAAGTCACAAAGGTGGAGATTAAACAAATACACTCTTAAATAACCATGGTTTAAAAAAAAATCAACCAAAACCGGTTTGGCTCAATGGATAGAGCATCGGCCTGTGTACTGAAGGGTCCCAGGTTTGATTCTGGACAAGGGCATGTACCTGGCTGTGGGCAGATCTCCCGGTAGGGGGAGTGGAAGAGGCAGCTGGTCGATGTTTCTCTCTCATCGACGTTTCTAGCTCTCTATCCCTCTTCCTTCCTCTCTATAAAAAACCAATATATATATTTTTAAAAAATACGTACATTTAAAAAAAATAAATAAATCACGCACTGGCCTATGAACTGAGGGGCCTTGGTTCAATTCTGGGCACATACCTCAGTTGCAAGCTCAATCCCTGGCCCTGGTCAGGGAATGTACAGGAAGCAGCCAATCAATGTGACTGTCTCACATAGATGTTTCTCTCTCTTGGTTTCTCCCCCTCCCTTCCACTCTCTCTAAAAATCAATGAAAAAATATCCTTAGGTGAGTACTGACAACAAAAAATTTACTGTGGTAATGATTTTATGTAATTGTGAATATACGAGAACCAGTGAACTGCACACTTTAACAGAATGCACTTTACAGCATGTGCATTAAACCTCAATAGAGCTGTATAAATAAATACATAATAAATGTATTTTTTAAAAATCTCAAGGCCTCAGCCAGATGGCTTAATTGGTTAGAGTGTCATCCCACACAACAAAAGGTTGTGGATTCAATTCCAAGTCAAGGTACACACATATCTAGGCTGTAGGTTTGATCCCTGGTTGGGATACATACAAGAGGCAACAAATCAATGCTTCTCTCACACACTGATGTTCCCCTCTCTCTCTCTCTCTCTCTCTCTCTCTCTCTCTCTCTCTCTCTCTCTCTCTCTTTTCCCCCTCCCCTTCCTCCCTCCATCCCTCCCTCTCTCTTTTCTAAAATTAATATTCTTAGATGAGGATTTTTGTTTAATTACAAGAAAATACTTAGAAATGAATTAAAAAGAAAACATAATATACAAAAACTTATGGAACACAGTGAAAGCAGTGCTAAACGGGACATGTATAGCTATAAACACATTAAAAAATAAGATATCAAATCAACAGCCTAACTTTGCGATTTAAAGAACTAGAAAAAAGAACAAAGTAAACCTACAGAAAGCAGAAGGAAGAAAATAAAAAAATATTAGGGGAGAGATAAAGAGACTAGAAAAACAATAGAGAAAATCAATGAAACAAAAAGTTAGTTCTTTGAAAAGACCACAAAATTGACAAAACTTTAGCTAGATGGACTAAGAAAAGAGAGAGAGAAGAGGAAGAATGAGGCCAAAAAGAACCTTGCTTTTCTGTTACAAAGACTGATACTGTGCTTTTAAAAACACACATAGCTGAAACCAGTTTGGCTCAGTGGCTAGAGCGTCAGCCTGCGGACTGAAAGGTCCCGGGTTCGATTCCGGTCAAGGGCATGTACCTTGGTTGCCGGCACATCCCCAGTAGGGGGTATGCAGGAGGCAGCTGATCGATGATTCTCTCTCATTGATGTTTCTAACTCTTTATCCCTCTCTCTTTCTCTCTGTAAAATATCAATAAAATATATTAAAACACACACACACACTTTTATTGATTTAAGAGAAGATAGAAACATCAATGATGAGAGAGAGTCACTGATCGGCTGCCTCCTGCATACCCCACACTGGGGATCAAGCCTGCAACCCAAGCATGTGCCCTTGATTGGAATTGAACCTGGGACCCTTCAGTCCACAGGCTGATGCTTTATCCACTGAGCCAAACCAGCTAGGGCTAGGCTTCTCTTTCTAACCTTTTTCCAAGGGAAGATCGGCCAAAAAATTGAGTTTACAGGCTCTATAAATACCCTAGGGAAAAAAGCCAAGAGAATGAGTAATACCTATGGACACATTATTAAGGGTTATTTAAAGATTTAACTGTTAATACTATATTTATGAAACCCATTTCAGTATTGGAGATAAGAACAAAGGAAAATTAAACTCAGAGCATGATCTAGAATGACAAAAGCAACCATTCAGAGAGGTAGGCCAAGTTCTCATTCATTACACTGCTTCTTGACAATGTAACAGCAAAAAGGTCCTGCTGGGATAGTCAGGGGGGTGCCCCAGTCGTGTCCCCGTGCCATGCCCCCCCACCACCCATATAGCATGCACCTCTATGGAAAGGCCCTTTCCTGATGTCTTCACAGGGCACATCTCCAATTCTTCAAAACCCCATTTCAAAAGCCCATCTCACACATCTTCACTTAGATGAATGCTATGACACGCTGCACTGGCTAGCTGGCATTACATTTGCATTTATATATACACAAGAGGACTGGTGCACAGATTCTTGTGCTGGCGGGGCCCCTTGGCCTGGTCTGCAGGGATCAGGCCAAAACTGGCTCTCCGACATCACCTGAAGGGTCCCGGATTGCAAGAGGGCAGTTCTCAGGTGACACACCCCGAAATTGGAATCAGGCTCCTTCCTCTCTGGTCCCGGGTGTGTCACCCAAGAACCGCAGCTGCCAAGTCACTGCAGCTCAGCAGCTCCTGTGTTGAGTGTCTGCCCCCTGGTGGTAGGTGCACATCATAATTACCGGTTAGAGCATCAACCCCCCCCCCCCCCCGTGGTCACTGTATATCACAACTATCAATCAGACAGTTGGATAGTCACTTGGGCTTTTATATAGAGAGATATAATAATAATATTAGTCAATTATTAGAGCTCACACTGCTTAATTCCATGCCATGTTCTATAAATACTTGCTAAGTGTTTTATATGTTGTTTTCATTAAACTTCATTACAACTTATGGGATTGATATTTCTACAGTGCCCTTTATAAAGATGTAGACATTGAGACCCCAAGAAAGATAATTCTATGATTTTCCCAAGAGGTTCCTTAGTTTGAAACTGATAGACCTAGAAACTACTAGTATAAAAACTCCCTGCAGAAAATGCAAAAATCATGAGATGCCACTGCTTACTTATTAAAATAGCTAAAACAAACAAAAAGGCTGAGAATACCAAGTGTTGTCAAGAATATGGGGCAACTAAGCCCTAGCCGGTTTGGCTTAGCAAATAGAGTCTCTTCTTGCGGAATGAAGGGTCCTGAGTTCATTTCTGGTGGAGGGCCTAAGTTGTGGGCTCGATTCCCAGTGAGAGACAGGCAAGACGCAGCTGATCAATGATTCTCTCACATTATTGATGTTTCTATCTGTCTCTGTCTCTCCCTTCCTCTCTGAAATCAACAAAAATGTATTTATAAAACAAGAATATGGGGCAACTGAAATGCTGATACATTTCTGGTGAGAATGTAAAATAGTGTAGTCATTTGGTTACTAGCTTGGCAGTTTCTTATAAAATAAACAAACACCAGATGTCCCAGCAAACCCATTCCTAAGTGTCTCTACTCAGAAATAACAGCACATTTACACATTCAAAAAATTTATGTACAAATATTTAGAGGAAATTTTATCCATAATAGGCCAAAATTAGAAACAACCCAGATGTCCATCAACTAACTCATGGGTAAACATACTAAGATACATCCAGCCAATGGAATACTGGCACACCTAGCTTTATTGTGCTTTGAAGATATTGTGTTGTGTGTATTTTTAATTTTTCTGCTGCCACTCATATCCACTACTGGCGCCCAGCATTGACCCCAATAGCTCAGTGCTGTCAGTGGGTGTGAGCAGCGGGTGCTGGCCCCAATCATCCCTGAGGGCTTCTCCACCTTCCCCTGCTCCTGAGGGGCAATCAGAGCAGCAGCAGTTGCTTATACCCACTGCTGGTGCAAGAGGGACCGACGCCATCAGCGCATGGGAGGGCTGCGGTAGAGCAGGGCTGCTGGCAGACGGGGCACTCAGGGCCAGAGCAGTAGGGGCCAGGCAGGGGCACAGAGAATGGGCCGAGACTTGCCCCTGTGCCCACCACAGCCTCGTGGCCCACAATCCTTTCAAGGTGCACAAATTCATGCACTGGGTCCCTAGTGAGGAAATAATGACCAGCAAAAGATGACCAAGAAAAGGAGAAGCTGAGAGCAGAGATGGTCTACACATGCTGAGTGACCCGAACTCCCAGTCTGACAGAAACTGCAGAAGGCATACCAACCTTAACAGGTCTCTTGATCTTCTGTTCAAAGACCTCAGTTTTACTAGAAGCTGCGGCTGCCTCCTCATCATCATCATCTGATGGAAAACACTCCCTTGTGCTTAAAAAAATTAATAAATGTTACAACTTTAAGTGCTTGGGACAGTGCGTATAATACAACATAGTATTTTCATTTTAATTTAAAAGCATGGTATTTTGCTTTTCACCACCAGTGCCTTACCCTGACAGCTGCATTGCTGTGGTTGAATTACAAAGAAAAAAGGAGGAGTTTATTTATTTTTTTTTTTTTTTTTTTTTTTACATGTTAAGAAAATTACTTTAATGATACGTTTAGAAAACTATGAAGGAAGTGTTGACTGCCCCTTTCAATGATTTTATTGTTGTAAGTATGAATTATTCAGCAAGTTTCCCGCATACTGAATACTTTTGAAGGCACATGAGCACTTTGAGGTCAGTTATATCCTCTAATATTGTAGCAGTAAAATTGCTAGCTGTCTCTCCAGTGACAGACCTGCTTGTCTTCTCCTAGGGAGTCATTTTTTTTTTTTTTTTTAATCAGTCTTTATTGTTCATATTATTACAAAGGTGCCTCATTTCTTCCCCCCTCCACCAGGTTCCCACCCCAGCCTCCGTCCCCCCGCCCCACCCCCCATTGTCCTCATCCATAGGTGCAGTTTATGTTCAGTCTCTTCTTCCCTCAATTTCCCCAATAGTAAATCCCTTTTCAGATAGTAAATCAGTTACTTAGCATTTTCTCATATCAATAATACCTCCACATGCCCAGTGATACACTTCACACAAAAGACATTTCCCACTAGGTCAACCAGCCTCATCCAGGCCCCACCCAAGGCACTCACAGATCAACACCCCAGACCTAAACTAACTCAACACATCCAGATCTAAGCCTTCATCACTTGATTCAGCAGACCCTCAAGTTCCCACGAAAGTTTCCAGCCATGTCTGAGAAGCAGCCGTGGGGCAGGGGCAGGCAAGGAGCGAGCTGTTCCGGGCCTGGCTGCTCAGGGCCTGGCCTCTGTTGCTCTGGTTCATTCCACAACCAGCTGCTCCAGGTCTGGTCACTGCTGCTCCCGACCTAGTTGCTCTGGACTTGGCTGCTGCTGCTCCGGGCCTGGCCGCTCCCAGCCTGGCAGCCGCTGCTCCGGGCCTGGCCGCACCCGACCCGCCTGCTCCCCCGGGCCTGGCCGCTCCCAGCCTGGCAGCCGTTGCTCCGGGCCTGGCCGCACCCGACCCGCCTACTCCCCCGGGCATGGCCGCTCCCAGCCTGGCAGCCGCTGCTCCGGGCCTGGCCGCACCAGCCCCGCCTCTCCCCCGGGCCTGGCCGCTCCCAGCCTGGCAGCCGCTGCTCAGGGCCTGGCCGCACCAGCCCCGCCTGCTCCCCCGGGCCTGGCCGCTCCCAGCCTGGCAGCCGCTGCTCCGGGCCTGGCCGCACCAGCCCCGCCTGCTCCCCCGGGCCTGGCCGCTCCCAGCCTGGCAGCCGCTGCTCCGGGCCTGGCCGCACCCGACCCGCCTGCTCCCCCGGGCCTGGCCGCTCCCAGCCTGGCAGCCGCTGCTCCGGGCCTGGCCGCACCAGCCCCGCCTCTCCCCCGGGCCTGGCCGCTCCCAGCCTGGCAGCCGCTGCTCCGGGCCTGGCCGCACCAGCCCCGCCTGCTCCCCCGGGCCTGGCCGCTCCCAGCCTGGCAGCCGCTGCTCCGGGCCTGGCCGCACCCGACCCGCCTGCTCCCCCGGGCCTGGCCGCTCCCAGCCTGGCAGCCGCTGCTCCGGGCCTGGCCGCACCCGACCCGCCTGCTCCCCCGGGCCTGGCCGCTCCCAGCCTGGCAGCCGCTGCTCCGGGCCTGGCCGCACCCGACCCGCCTCTCCCCCGGGCCTGGCCGCTCCCAGCCTGGCAGCCGCTGCTCCGGGCCTGGCCGCACCAGCCCCGCCTGCTCCCCCGGGCCTGGCCGCTCCCAGCCTGGCAGCCGCTGCTCCGGGCCTGGCCGCACCCGACCCGCCTGCTCCCCCGGGCCTGGCCGCTCCCAGCCTGGCAGCCGCTGCTCCGGGCCTGGCCGCACCAGCCCCGCCTGCTCCCCCGGGCCTGGCCGCTCCCAGCCTGGCAGCCGCTGCTCTGGGCCTGGCCGCACCAGCCCCGCCTGCTCCCCCGGGCCTGGCCGCTCCCAGCCTGGCAGCCGCTGCTCCGGGCCTGGCCGCACCAGCCCCGCCTGCTCCCCCGGGCCTGGCCGCTCCCAGCCTGGCAGCCGCTGCTCCGGGCCTGTCCGCACCCGCCCCGCCTGCTCCCCCGGGCCTGGCCGCTCCCAGCCTGGCAGCCGCTGCTCCGGGCCTGGCGGCACCCGACCCGCCTGCTCCCCCGGGCCTGGCCGCTCCCAGCCTGGCAGCCGCTGCTCCGGGCCTGGCGGCACCCGACCCGCCTGCTCCCCCGGGCCTGGCCGCTCCCAGCCTGGCAGCCGCTGCTCCGGGCCTGGCCGCACCAGCCCCGCCTGCTCCCCCGGGCCTGGCCGCTCCCAGCCTGGCAGCCGCTGCTCCGGGCCTGGCCGCACCCGACCCGCCTGCTCCCCCGGGCCTGGCCGCTCCCAGCCTGGCAGCCGCTGCTCCGGGCCTGGCCGCACCCGACCCGGCTGCTCCCCCGGGCCTGGCCGCTCCCAGCCTGGCAGCCGCTGCTCCGGGCCTGGCCGCACCCGACCCGGCTGCTCCCCCGGGCCTGGCCGCTCCCAGCCTGGCAGCCGCTGCTCCGGGCCTGGCCGCACCCGACCCGCCTGCTCCCCCGGGCCTGGCCGCTCCCAGCCTGGCAGCCGCTGCTCCGGGCCTGGCCGCACCCGACCCGCCTCTCCCCCGGGCCTGGCCGCTCCCAGCCTGGCAGCCGCTGCTCCGGGCCTGGCCGCACCAGCCCCGCCTGCTCCCCCGGGCCTGGCCGCTCCCAGCCTGGCAGCCGCTGCTCCGGGCCTGGCCGCACCCGACCCGCCTGCTCCCCCGGGCCTGGCCGCTCCCAGCCTGGCAGCCGCTGCTCCGGGCCTGGCCGCACCAGCCCCGCCTGCTCCCCCGGGCCTGGCCGCTCCCAGCCTGGCAGCCGCTGCTCCGGGCCTGGCCGCACCAGCCCCGCCTGCTCCCCCGGGCCTGGCCGCTCCCAGCCTGGCAGCCGCTGCTCCGGGCCTGTCCGCACCCGCCCCGCCTGCTCCCCCGGGCCTGGCCGCTCCCAGCCTGGCAGCCGCTGCTCCGGGCCTGGCGGCACCCGACCCGCCTGCTCCCCCGGGCCTGGCCGCTCCCAGCCTGGCAGCCGCTGCTCCGGGCCTGGCGGCACCCGACCCGCCTGCTCCCCCGGGCCTGGCCGCTCCCAGCCTGGCAGCCGCTGCTCCGGGCCTGGCGGCACCCGACCCGCCTGCTCCCCCGGGCCTGGCCGCTCCCAGCCTGGCAGCCGCTGCTCCGGGCCTGGCCGCACCCGACCCGCCTGCTCCCCCGGGCCTGGCCGCTCCCAGCCTGGCAGCCGCTGCTCCGGGCCTGGCCGCACCCGACCCGGCTGCTCCCCCGGGCCTGGCCGCTCCCAGCCTGGCAGCCGCTGCTCCGGGCCTGGCCGCACCCGACCCGGCTGCTCCCCCGGGCCTGGCCGCTCCCAGCCTGGCAGCCGCTGCTCCGGGCCTGGCCGCACCAGCCCCGCCTGCTCCCCCGGGCCTGGCCGCTCCCAGCCTGGCAGCCGCTGCTCCGGGCCTGGCCGCACCCGACCCGCCTGCTCCCCCGGGCCTGGCCGCTCCCAGCCTGGCAGCCGCTGCTCCGGGCCTGGCCGCACCCGACCCGCCTGCTCCCCCGGGCCCGGCCGCTCCGAGCCTGGCCACTCCCAACCTGGATGCTCTGGGCTTGGCTACTGCTGTTATGGGTCTGGCTGCTCCCACCCCGGCTGCTCTGGGCCCGGCTTCTCCGGGCCCGGCCACTCCGGGTCTGGGTGTTCCTGGACTGGCCACCCTGGGCTTGGCCGCCTCCGCCTCATGCCTGGCTGCCACTGCCCCAGGTCTGGCTACTCCAGTGCTGGCTGTTGATGCTCTGGTTCTGGCTGCTGTTGTTCTGGGGCCTGGCCGTTGCTGCTCCGGGTCTGGCTGCCACTGCCTTGTGCCTGGCCACTCTAGGCCTGGCCGTCGCTGTTCCAACATTCTGTCCTTTTTTTTTCTTTTTAAAACGCATTTATGTTGCAATGTTGGCTGGTGAGTTGAGTTCTGACTTAGTCTTTGATTTTTCAAGATCTTCTTTGTATTCTTTCTTAAGTAATTTTACTATTGTTTGCTCTCACTTGATTTCTTCACATTGAGAACTTCTTTGGTTTCTTCCTCCTTGTCCTGGGGGCTCAGCAGGTTGGCCTGTGGCACCCCTTTGTTCTCCGGGGCTCCTGTGCTGCTTCAGCCTGTTGCCGGGACGGCGCCGCCCAGGAAGCAGCCCCAGGCCTTGGCTCCATTGCCGGAGCTCAGTGGTCAAAGGCTCAGGGGCACTCACGCCCCCAGGGCCCCGTGGCCCGCCTCCTTGCTGGTGCCCGGTTGGCTGGAGTCCGGCAGGGGCTTCCGCTCCCCTCCGCGTTCCCCCAGCCTAGAGCTTTTTTTTTCTCCTTCCCGCTAGGGAAGTCCAGCATCAGAGTCAACAGACTGTCCTCTGCGCGCAGTTTGCGCGAGTCCCACAGACTGTCCTCTGCGCGCAGTTTGCGCGAGTCCCGGGGGCCCGGCCTTTCGCCGCTCTCCCCAGACTCCACCTCACAGCCCCGTCTCCCACTGCCTGAGCCTGGGTCCCCAGGGATTGGCCCAGAACTGGGGTTCGGAGCAGTCTGGACTGAGGCTCAGCGCAGCCGGAGGCCTTGTTTTTTCCGGCTAGGGTAACCCAGCATCAGAATCAACATTCAGTCCTCTGCGCGCATTGCGCGCGACTCCCGGGGCCCTGCCTTGCGCCGTTTTTCCGCCTCACGGCCCTGTCTCCTCCCGCCGGAGCCTGGGTCCCCAGGGTCTGGCCCATAACTGGGGCTCAGCGCTGCCGGTTCGGGGGGGCTCAGCAATGCCGGTTCGGGGGTTCAGCCCAGGCTGGGGGTTTTATTTTTTTCCTGCTAGGGAAGGAAAGGCAGCTCCCCGCCCTCTCCTCCTCTCAGGCTGCGACCTCTCCGTGCGCGCGTGCGGGCGGGCAGGCGCGCGCAGCATGTCTCCGTACCTTAGGCTTTTTATCAGCTCCTCTGATTTTCTTTCTGGTTTTCTCTTTCCTTCTTGTTGTAGAAATTTCAGTCAGTCGACTACCTGTAGCTCTGGGCAATGTCCACTCTACATTTTAGTTGTATTCCATTGAAATTGTTGTGTGCTGCCGCGGCTAGATGTCTACCCGAGCAGCCATCTTGGATCCTCCAAAAAGGAGGAGTTTAAAAAGCATGTCTGGGAGAGTGATGTTAGAGGAATGGCAACAAGAGAGATCCCCTTGGAATTTCCCCTGAAATTTTAACAAGTTTATCAACTATAATTCAACAAAGGATCCCATGCTCAATATAGAAGCATGCCTGAGAGACCCATACATTGAAGCATCTAAAGGTGGGCAACCAGGAGTAAATGGGGAGGCAAGAATGGAGGAGAGCTCACACGGCCACAGATGCAGCCCTGCAGCTGGGAGCTGGCTGTTTGCTCAGCCCCAGAGAGAGGAGGAAGTAGGTATTTCCATGGGCCAGGAAGAACAGAGAGTCTCAATGGGCTTTCCAGCAGGGCAAGTGGTGCGAACAGCAGCTGAGCCAGCTGAAAGGCTGGGGTAAGGACACAGTGCCAGGGTTCTGTCATGAGTGTCTGCTGTTGGATGGCTAGTGTTCCAGGCAAAGGTGGAGACACAGAGGCCCATCACCCCTTGGACTCCAATAACTCACCTCCCATTGCCCTTGGTGTCAGGTCAAGGAGCACATTATGTGTAAACTGAGAGATATTGCAGCAGAGTCCCTGTTTGCTCCAGAGATTGATCCCCATTTGGAGTTGGGGGCGAGGAGCACACCATAGAGGTCTGGGGGTCATCATTATAATGAGGGTAAAACAAAGCCCACCGCCAAGCAGCACAGCTGTAATGTCGGATCGGAGCTATGGAGGGCAGCTCTGGGACATCACAGAGCTAAAAATCTGTGATTCAGTACCACCTACTAGAAAAGAGTAGAAAGACCTGTTCAAAGAAAGATGCTAGAGAAGGGCCAACATAATACATAGATACCTAGACAAACGGGACCAGCAAATACCATGAATAATCATGGAAATAAGGAAGCCCAGGGAAAAAAAATCTCCATAAAGCAAGCTGAACCACATGGAAATATATAAATGACAGAGAATTCAAGATTGCAGTTCTGAAAATACTCAACAAGATGTGAGAAAATACAGACAGGCAATCTAGTACACTCAAAAAACAAATTAATGAACAAAATAAGTATTGCACCAAAGAGTCTAAAATATTAAAAAGAACCAATCAGAAATCCTGGAAATGAAGCATGCAATTAAGGAGATCAGGAGTAAACTACTAGATATAGGAAACAGAACTGATCAGAGGGAGAAAAGAATTAGTGATATCACTATAGGAATCTAGAAATGATGCATAGGGGAAAAAAGAGAGACCCAAGCATTAAGAAAAATGAAAGAGCTCTACAAGAACTATCTAACTCCATCAGAAAAAGCAATCCTATGGAACTGGAGAACATTATGCTGTGTGAAATAAGCCAATGAATCAAAAACATTTATGGATAATAAAGAACATTATAAACTGATGAACAAAAAGACAGATACAGAGACATTAAGCAACAAACAGACTGTCAAATTACAGAGGGAAGGTTAGGGAGATATGGGGGAGATAAGAGATCAGCCGAAGGACTTATATGCATGCATATAAGCATAACCAATGGGGTTATGAGGGCATGAGGGCATGAACGGGAATGGGAGGGGCGGGGGGGCGAGGAAACACCGACCAATGGTAAGATATGTACACATATAATACCTTAATTTAAAAAAATGAAGAAAAAAAAGAAAAAGCAATCCTACATAATAAAACCAGATATGCTAAGTATCGGTCGGCCATTCAACCAATCAAAGCATAATATGCTAATAATATGCTAAGGCTGCTCAACCACTCACTATAACATGCACTGACCACCAGTGAGCAGATAGTCGACTGGTCAACCAGTTGCTATGACGTGCACTGACCACCAGGGAGAAGACACTCCAACCAGTAGGTGAGCTTACTGCTAGGGTCTGGCCGATCAGGACTGAGCGAGATGGGCCAGACACATCCTGGAGCCCTCCCATAGACCCTCCCCAGCTGGCCAACCTCCCACATCCCGCCCCGGGCCTAATCATGTACCGGTGGGGTCCCTTGGCCTGGCCTGCACCCTCTCACAATCCGGGACCCCTCAGGGGATTTTAGAAAGCTGGTTTCAGCCCGATCCCACAGGCCAGGCCAAGGGACCCCCACTGGTGCATGAATTCACTCTAGTATAAGAATAATAGGTATACCAGAAGAAGAACAGAGGGATAAGGAACAGAGAGCCTATTTAAAAAACAATGGATAAGAACTTCCCACACCTATGGAAAGAATCCAATAAGCAAACAGAGCACCTAGTTACTCAGTCCAAAGAGGCCCTCTCCAAGGCACATTGTATTAAAATTTTAAAGAGTGAATGACAAATACATATATATATATATATATATATATATATATATATATATATCAAAGCAGTAAAGGAAAAGAAGAAAGTTATCTTCAAAAGAAAATCCATCAGGAACCCAAGATGTGGGCGTAGGTTAATACCTAAACTGCTGCCTTGCACAACAATTTCAAAACTACAACTAAAAGACAAAATGTCTATCACCCAGAGCCACGGGAGGGCTGGCTGAATAGAATTTCTACAATTAGAAGGAGAGAGAAAAGCACACTGAGACTCAGAGGAACTGCAGAAGGCAGAGGTTACTTAAGAATCTTCTAAAAACTGCTGAGAAACTTGATGAGACCTTTAAGGACCTTAATGAGAATGCAAAAAAAAAAAAATGGAAAAGGACCAGTCAGAAATTAAGCAGTCTGAAATAAAGAATATACAGAAACTCAACTGTAGATCAATATACCCCAAGAGTCAAACCAAAGATCTGAAATATGAGGAAACAAAAAACACCCAACCAGAAAAACAAAAAGAAAAAAGGATCCAAAAATATGAAGATAGTATAAGGAGACTCTAGGACAACTTTAAGTGTACCAACATCTGAATTTTGGGGGTGCCAAAAGAAGAGAGAGAGCAAGATACTGAAAACCTATTTGAAGAAATAATGATAGAAAACTTCCCCTACCTGGTGAAAGAAATAGACTTACAAATTCAGGAAGTACAGCTGAAACCGGTTTGCCTCAGTGGATAGAGCATTGGCCTGCGGACTGAAGTGTCCCAGGTTTGATTCCGGTCAAGGGCATGTACCTTGGTTGCGGGCACATCCCCAGTAGGGGGTGTGCAAGAGGCAGCTGATCGATGATTCTCTCTCATCGATGTTTCTAACTCTCTATCCCTCTCTCTTCCTCTCTGTAAAAAATCAATAAAATATATTAAAAAGAAAAAGAAAAAGAAATAAGGCACTCAAAATGACCAAGATGTTAGCATGGAACAATACAGTTTTTAAATGTGAGTTTCCTATTTGTGTTAGAACATAGCTATCTTCTCCGATGCCTCCTGTTTGCTTGATCTTTAAGGCAGGGAAGGAAGGTGCCCCGTGAGAGCTGTACCTCTTCTGGATACCGAAGGGTCCACTTCCACACCTTTTTCATAAGGGGTGCCACCGTTCAGGAGGAGCTCGTAAGTCCTACAAAGAAGGGTATGCTGTGACCAAGACCTGTGGTGGACTTCCCGACTCAATTACTTTTCTGCACGGATATCTTTGTGTCATTGAGTGAGAATGGAAGCCGATCCCTCTGTGGGGCCTCAGATCAGTAAATAAGTCTCTTTCTTACCTATGAACCGTAGAAACACATTTTCCACATTAACATGAAAAAGATTATTAATGTTGTTAAAACGTTTTGAATCATCATTCGAAATAAAGCCAGTAAGGTCAGGGGGAGGGGATGCAGGGGAATGGGTGCAGTGGGGGGGGGTTTGGGGGGGGGGAGATCATTTGGAGGGGAAGGAACATCTTTAATACTTTCAACAATGAAGATAACTCTTTAAAATAGACAGTATGACTTTATATGACGTTTAAAACATAAAAGTAATAAATAAATAAAATATAAAAGTAACATTCAGATTGTGGTAAAAAGTTTCAATGGCCTAGAAATAATGAGGAAAAAGTGACAGCCACCTCCCTCCCCTCAAGTTTGGCAGCCCCTTGCCCTACCTTGTTCTATGCAAATGCAAATAAATACATTCCCCAGTGAATCCCAAACTGAAGACTTTTCTTTCAAAGTTACAAACTGCCGAGGTGGAGAAGCAGGAAGGAGGTCAAAGGCCTCTCTAATCCTGCTGCCAGTCCCCACGCCTGCTCTAGGGCAGCCTTGGGAACAGTTCACATAAACCCACCCAGGAAGGCGCACAAACGCAGCTCTTCGTGGACCAAAGTGGAGTGGCAGTACACATCCTACCCTGCCACTTGCTTTTCCATGTAAAAATATACATTTGAAATGTTTCTATATTAATACAGAGGCCTCTGGCCTCCACTAAATTAAAAAAAAAAAAAATAGCTATGGCTTTAGGAAAGATTGAGGAGACACACCATTTCTTTCTACCAAGTACAACTAAAACCCTAAATGTTAATAATCTCAACAATAAAGATTTTTTTAAAGAGAAAAGAAACGAAGCACTCAAATAAAATGACTTCTGCATCTACAGGGGACAGGAGGGCCAAGGTAATAAAGTGCCCCGTATACTGCCCGGTGACATCAGAGGACTAGCACAGGCAGGCTTTCACCTCCGTCCGATGGTAAGAAGCTTCCATCCACCCTGAGGTGTCAGCAGAGGTGGAGGGGGGAGCATTACCTGAATTAAACATTTGGGGTTAGAAACTATGATAATTCCCCAATTCAAAAATTGGGGGAAACTATGGCTTGGAGACTTACAGTTACATGGCATTGCAGGACTAAAGCCCTGAATTTTATGCAAATCTGGGATCTTCATCATCATATTCCTGACTACCCGCCTGTGTCTCTCTTTGAATTTCCTGTCTATATCCTAGACTTAGATTTACGGTATGTGTGTGTGCCCATTTTAAGGTTAGATTTCTATGTGTGTGCCCATTTTAAAATTAGATTTCTAAGTATGTGACCATTTTAAAGTTAGATTTCTATGTGTGTGCCCATTTTGAAATGTAATTGTCTTTGCCCTGTCGGTATGTTCAGCCCACACACCAAAGGATCACAAGTTCCATTCTCACTCAAGGACATGTACCTGGGTTGCAGGTTCATCCCCCAGCCCCACTTGGGGCAAATGCAGAAGTCAACCAACCAATGTATCTCTCTCACATCAATGCTTCTCTCTCTCCTCTCTCTCTTCCCTCCCTTCCCTTTCTCTAAAAATCAATGGAAAAAATATCTTAAGGTGAGGATTAAGAAAAAAATAAAATAAAATAATACAATAATGAATAAATAATGCAAGAATAAATTGTTTTGTATATGCAACACTATACACCTACTTTTCCCCATTTGCTACCAGTTTGCCACTTGGTCTTTTTTTTTTACCATTTAATCACTTTTATTATTCAATTACAGCTGACATACAATATTATATTAGTTTCAGGTGCACACCCCTCCCCCATTAGACTTTATACAACTTCCTAAGTCAGTGGTCAGCAAACTCATTAGTCAACAGAGCCAAATATCAACAGTATGACGATTGAAATTTCTTTTGAGAGCCAAATTTTTTTAACTTAAACTATATAGGTAGGTACATTTTTATTAACTTAAATAGGGTACGTCTAAGCTGGCCTTTGCTAAAATCTCAAGGGGCCAAAGAGCCGCGTGTGACTTGCGAGCCGCAGTTTGTCAAACACTGACCTAAGTGATCATCCCAATAAATCTCATACCCATCTGACACCATACATAGCTATTAGAATTTTATTGATTACATTTCCTATGCTGTACTTTACATCCCCATGACTATTATGTAACAACCAATTTGTACTTCTTAATCAATTCTTCTTTTTCACCATCCCTCGATCTCTCCTCCCATCTGACAATCTCTCTGTAAAAAATCAATTTAAAAAAAAATTTTGTTTAAGTTCCCAGGAGAGGCCAAACCACAAACCAAGATCAGCGACCACTAGTTCCAGGCTTGGGGCCATTTAGCAAGAGGTACGAGACATACCAAGGCCAGATGCTGCCTGTCTGCAATTTGTGAACTGTTAAGAGACTTTAGGAAAGTCTACAGCAGGAGCCAAGGCAGGCAGTTTGTGTAAAAGAAAAAAAAATGGCTTGGGTGGGTCCACAAGTTGAGTGTGGAGTAGTCTCAGGGAATCACCAAGGTGATGTGAACAGTGTTAACCAGGTTGATGGAGACTCAGTTATAGCACCTGCCTGACAACCTTACATGCTGTTTTCATACCCTACCTGAAGGAACATAAAAGCAGATTCAAAGCCTTCTCCCCATAAGCTACTGAAATGCTAACAGAGCATACATTTGGCAAATCTATATTCTAAAAACTGATCTACAAAGTTACCCATTTAGAAGGAATATATAACCAACTTACTTTGCTGGAATAGGAATTCCACTGGCATCAAAAAGTTTAAGAAACACCCAGCCACAGCTTAATTCTCCTCTTTCACCAGTTGACTAAGGAATAAAAACATAGATGAAACAATGTCTGAAGCAGTCAGATTTATTGTTTAATTATTCATTCCTTCATTCATTCATTTATTTATTTTAACATATTTTTATTGATTTCAGAGAGGAAGGAAGAGGGAGAATGAGAGACAGGTACGTCAATGTTAAGACAGAATCATTGACTGGCAGCCTGGAGCCCGCAACCTAGGCATGTGCCTTTGATAGGAATCAAACCCTGGACCCTCCAGTCCACAGGCCAATGCTCTATCCACTGAACCAAAGCAGCTGGGACTGAAGCAGTCAAATTTATAATCACACAAGAGGCCTGGTGCACGAAATTCGTGCACGGGGGTGGGAGTCCAGCCTGCACCCTCTCAATCTGGGACTCCTCGAGGGATGTCCAACTGCTGGTTAGGCCTGATCCTAAAGTTTAGGACATCCCTCTCACAATCAAGGACTACTGGCTTCCACCTACTCACTTACCTGCCTTCCTGATTGCCCCTAACTGCTTCTGCCTGCCAGCCTGATTGATGTCTAATTACTCCCTGCCAGCCTGATTGATGTCTAATTATTCCCCTGCCAGCCTGTTTGCCCTTAACTGCCCTTCCCTGCAGGCCTGGGTCCCTCCACAACTGCCCTTCCCTGCAGACCCAGTCACCCCCAACTTCCCTCCTCTGCCACCCTAGTCACCCCTAAATGCCTTCCCCTGCAGGCTTGATTGCTCCCAACTGCCCTCCCTTGCAGGCCTGGTCCCTCCCAACTGCCCTCCCCTGCTGGCCATCTTGTGGTGGCCATCTTGTGTCCAGATGGGGGCAGGATCTTCGACTACATGGGGGCAGCCATCTTGTGTGTTACTCTTTTGTTAGATAGGATAGAGGCCTGGTGCACAGCTGGTTTGACCTGAATGGTGTCCCAGATCAGGGTGGGGTTTCCCTTGAGATGTGGAGCGGCCTGGGTGAGGGGCCTATAGTGGTTTTCAGGCTGGCAATGTCCGCTGGAGACCCAAGTAGAGGCCCTGCTCTCTGGGATTTACTTATCTTCTACAATTGAAACTTTGTAGCCTGGTGCAAAGCCAAGTCTCCTGCTTGCTCTGTGGCAGCAGCCATTTCTGTTGGGATTTATCTTCCATAATTGAAACTTGGTAGCCTTAAGCAGAGGCCTGGGCCAGCCAAGTAGTGCAGAAAGCTTGGCTTCCTCCATCACCGGGGGCAACCCTAGCCTCCTGCTTTCTCCAGCTTCATGGCTGTCACCTTTTCTGTTGGGATTTATTTATCTTCTATAATTGAAACTTTGTAGCCTGGAATGGAGGCCTCAGCCCACCAGGGTGTGTGAAAAGCTTGGCTTCCTCCATCACCAGGGAAACCCAAGCCTCCCTCCTGCTTGCTCAGTGGGCTCAACCATCTTGGTTGAGGTTAATTTGCATACTTGCTCCTGATTGGCTGATGCACATGGCTGGTGGGTGTAGCAGAGCAAAGGTTAATTTGCATATTGCTCTTTTTATTAGATAGGATACCAGGTCCTTTTAAAGTACAAAATTAGTATTCATTTTAGACTAAAAATCTCTTCACAGGAAAATAGTGAAGCACAGCAGAATCCCTTTGTACCTGCAGAGCTCATGGCAATATTCAAACCTCACTGAAAATCTCTACACCTGAGAGACCCTGGCCAAGTAGCTCCATTGGTTTGAGCATCATCCCAATACACCAAGATTAAGGTGACCAGACGTCCCGCTTTTGGCAGGACAGTCCTGATTTTTAACAATTTGTCCCATGTCCCGAGGAGTTTTTGGAAAAAGTCTTTCTCTCTCTGTTTGTGTATTTTTAGATTCCACATATAAGCGAAAGCATATGGTATCTGCCTTCCTCTGGCTTATTTCACTTAGCATAATGTCCTCAAGAACTATCTATGTTGTTGCAAATGTCAAGGTTTCATTCTTTTTTATGGCTGAGTAATATTCTATTGTATATATGTATCAGATCTTCTTTATCTAATAGTCTATTTATGAACACTTAGGATGCTTCCATATTTGCCTATTGTAAATAATATTTGAGTAAACATAGGAATACATATATCTTTTTGAAATAGTGTTTTGGATTTCTTTAGATTAAATATCCAGAAGTGAAACTGCTGGGTTATATGGCAGTTCTATTTTTAATTTTTTGAAGACCCTTCATAATGTTTTACATAGGGGCTACACTAATTTACATTACCACCAACAGCTCATGAGAGTTCCCTTTTCTACACATCCTCACCAACATTTTTTGATAATATCATTATCATTTATCTTTTTGATAATGCCATTCTGACAGTGGGAGATGACATCTCACTTTGGTTCTGATTTGCATTTCCCCTGTGATTTGTGATGGTGAGCATCTTTTACACTTTAATTTTAAGTGCTACTAAATAAGCAGCAATACACACACACACACACACACACACACACACACACACAGAGTGGCCAATTATAATCTCTGAACACATAATAATCTGGCCACTCAGTGTATATCCTATATATAATAATAAAAGGCTAATATGCAAATTGTCCCCTCAACCAGGAATTCAACCAGCAGGAAGGCAGGCCAACAGCCCATGTCCCCTCCCCCTGGCCAGGCTGGCCAGACCTCACCCAAGCACAAATTCATGCACCAGGCCTCTAATACACACACACACACACACACACACACACACACACACTGAGTGGCCAGATTATGCGTTCAGAGATCATAATCTGGCCACTCAGGATATAATATTAAAATCACTGCCATTGCCCTAACTGGTTTGGCTCAGTGGATAGAGCATTGGCCTGCGGACTGAAGGGTCCCGGGTTCAATTCTGGTCAAGGGCATGTACCTTGGTTGCGGGCACATCCCCAGTGGGAGATGTGTAAGAGGCAGCTGATCGATGTTTCTCTCCCATCGATGTTTCTAACTCTCTATCCCTCTCCCTTACACTGTAAAAAAAATCAATAAAATACATTTTAAAAAATAAAATAAAATCACTGCCATTCCCATTCCTCAAGGATTAAAATTCTATAACAAAAATCTCAATTATTTCACTTGTAAATACAAGCTTTTTAAAATCTTCCCTTTCAATGGATACGTGAGAAAGCCTTATTTGTTAACTGACATACATTACGAATATAAGAAATTCCAAGTTCAAATAATATTCCAAGATCAGGAGATGCAGAATTGGACCTGATAAAACAATCACCATCAAGCAAGCACGGCAAGGTGCCAGTAACCTGAAACAATAAGAAAACTAAAGTCACCAATAAAAGTTAAAACTGGGTGAGTTTTCAGCTCCACTCACTTGTGAATGTGACTGCTGTTCCCTACCAAAGCCCTTCTAGATGCTGGACAAGACCCCAGCATGATCTGGCATCACAGTAAAGTTCTCTTAAAGGAAACAAAGAGCAGATGGACTAGATTCATCTGAATTAATGATTTGAAATTTAAAACTTTAAATTTATTTTAACTTCGTGTTCAAAGGAAATAACTTTACATTTACTTACCCTTTTGTTAGAGAGGCTAAGTATAATAAAACAAATATTGCACCTACGCACCTAGAGATGTGATGGATGTCATTTGCATATACTGTGTAAGATTTTTATACTAACCATAGTTCCTTGTGAACAGAGCTAAAATTAAAGACTTCATACACACATTGGTATGTGATTGCTGAAGCCAATTCCAGCATGTCAGCAGGGCTGAATCATCTGGGATGGCTGAGGGCATTTCCCCAAACCTGAAAAGGATGCATAATGATTGCTTGCTGCCAGATAGCTTAGGGTACTTCAATCTACATGTTATTGCCTCCTACTGGCTCAACCTCTCCTCATCTCTTCCTGTCTTCTCTCCATATTCCCGGCTCATAATAATTCAGATCAGTTACATTTCAACTGGTTTTTCAAGTTGAATGCTCTACAATTTAGCCACAAGTCCAGTCTGGTGCTGGAAGCAAGTGGACAGAGCTTCTTGCTAGTCTGCAGCCATCTTGGAATCTTCCTCCAGCAAGCATTTTTCAAAACTGAACCCTGAAATACACTGAATGATTCAAGGAATCATAACTTTGCTGAGTCAGAAACATGAGTAATTTTTGTTTAAGTCCTCAAAGAACATTAAATAATCTAAAGATTTAAACATGACCCCATATAGTCTGTGCTAAACATAAGTATATCATTTCAGAAATACACTTTGACAGCCTCACCTTAGAAATTCATTGCATGACACTTAACAGTAGAAGAAATTCATCTTTCATTCTATTCACTCATCAGATGACTCACCTGAGGAGAAAAGGTCCATGTTCTGGGCTTTTTAGGCTGCCATGTGGCTCTGACTGTATGAATGTTGCTCAGAACCTGAAATAAGATTTTACCACTAGAAATCATGTAGAAAGCTCTCTGAAACACCACTACTTCCTCACCCTAAACAGTTAACAGTGGCTAAACTGCGTGGAAGGAGGGAGAAGGGATCTTTCACTTTTTATTTTGTGCAATTCTCTACAGTAGCGGTTCTCAACCTGTGGGCGACCGCTAGCAGGGTCGCCTAAGACTATCGGAAAACACAGATATTTACATTAAGATTCATAACAGTAGCAAAATTATAGTTATGAAGTAACAACAAAAATAATTTTATGGTTGGGGGTCACCACAACATGAGGAACTGTATTAAAGGGTCGTGGCATTAGAAAGGTTGAGAACCACTGCTATATGCCAACAAACTGGACAATGTGGATAAAATGGACACATTCTTAGAAATATACAATCTTCCAAAACTGAATCAGGAAGAGTCAGGAAGCCTAAATGGACCAATAACTGATAAAATTGAAGTAGTAATCAAAACACTCCCAGAAAAAAAAAAGAAAAAGAAAAAAAAAAAAGCTCTGACCTGGATGGCTTCACAAGGAAGTTTAACTAAACACTCAAAGAAGAAATAATACCGTGTTTCCCCGAAAATGAGACCTACTTACAGGTCTTACAGTAGGTCTAGTGAAATATAAAGCATCCCCCAGAAAATAAGGCCCCCACAGGCTAAACATGAGAGATTTGGTCCACTGATTCTGAAAGAAATTGAGTCATAAGAAATTCACCAGGAAATTCAGGAATTGGATTGTTATGATGATGTTCCAGAAGATGATGACATGATTGTCATTGAATAAATGAGTAAATTCTTGATACTGTAGGATTCACAGTCTGGTTTGCGTTGACAACTACCGTACTACCGTACCATATACAGGTAATAAATTTCCTTTATTTTCATTTAACAATAAATGTGTACCATATTCTTCTTCATGGAAAAACAAGACATCCCCTGAAAATAAGACCTAGCGCATCTTTGGGAGCAAAAATTACTATAAGACACTGTCTTATTTCCAGGGAAACACGGTACCTAGCCTCCTCAAATTACTCTTTAAAAAAATCCAAGAGGAAGAAACAACTTCCAAAATCTTTTTAAGAGGCTAGCATTATCCTATTCCAAACCAGATAAAGACATTACAAAGAGAAATACAGGCCACTATCCCTGATGAACATAAATGCTAAATTCCTCAAAAAAGTATCAGCAAATCAGTCCTAGCTGGTTTGGCTCAGTCGGCCTGCGGACTAAAGAGTCCAAGGTTTGATTCCTGTCAAGGGCAGGTGCTTCGGTTGCGAACTCGATCCCAAGTAGGGAGTAGTGCAAGACGCAGCCAATCAATGATTATCCCTCATTGTTGATGTTTCTATCCCTCTCTCCCTCTCCATTCCTCTCTGAAAATCAATAAATATATATTATTTTAAAATTATTAGCAAATCAGATCCAACAATACATTAAAAAGATCATACTCCATGACCAAGTGGGATTTATTCCAAGGATGAAAGGCTGGTATAATATTTGCAAATCAATAAATGTAATATATCACATAAACAAATGGAAAGACAAAAATCACATGATCATATCAATAGACAGAAAAAGCATTTGACAAAATCCAATATCCATTTTTGATAAAAATGGTCAGCAAAGTGGGAATAGAGGGATCGTAACTCAACATAATAAAGGCCATATATGACAAACCTACAGCCAACATCATACTCAATGGGCAAAAACTAAAACCATTTCCCCTAAAACAGGAACAAGACAGGGATGTCCACTTTCACCACTCTTAATTCAACATAGTACTGGAAATCCTAACCATAGAGATCAGACAAGAAAAGGAAGAAGTGACACTGTCATTATTGAAGAGAAACCAAGATGGTGGCATAGGGTAGATACCTGAATGCAGCCTACCACAACAAATTTGAATTTAGAACTGAAAAACAGGGGAAACATCGCCCTGAAGCACCAGACGGCTGGCTGAGAGGAGTCTCTACCATCTGGGAAGGAGAGAGAAGGCACGCTGAACCTCAGGAACTATGAAGGTACAGAGAACTGTGCGCACAAAAAGGCGGCCGCAGAGTTCGATGCCGGCTTGCTTGCGGAGCGCGGAGAGGGCGGGCTGAGTTCGCTGCTGGCTTACTCCTGGCGCACGGAGAGGGTGGACAGCTAATGCACGGCTGGCTTTCTTGTTCGGGAGGAAAACAGAACCACCCTATTGCCCTGATAGATTGCCCCAGACAGGGAGAGGCCAGACTGTCAGGCAGTGGGCAGAGATCTCTCGAAGGTGTATGAAGCCAGCGGCCATTACTGCAGGACTCAGAAACCAGACCCTCGTAGGGAGGGGCTGAATAGAGCTTGTCTGCACCACCCGAGACTCTACCCCATCCAAGCAGAGCACAAAAGCCCTTCCAGTGGCTAGCTTTCTCATTTGCGGTGAATGGGACTCTCCTAGGGAGGGACAGACAGGAATCCAAAGCTTGTCTGTGCCTATACCAATGAGGTGTGCGCACCTGCAACCAATCTTCCGGGATTCACCAAAGCTTGTCTGTGCCACCCCGAAACTCCGCCCCATCCAAGCAGAATACAGAAACCCTCCTAGCTGAGTCACTTCTGATCCTCATAGCCAATTGGCTTGGAGATCAGTGCTTCCCAGTGATACCACAACACGCAAGGCTTAACAACAAGACTGCACATACAGCCCACAAAGGGCTACACCAAGACTGTCCACCTCAGGTACTGGGAGGCTGACTCACTGAACCATATTGGACACCTTAGCACACAAAGCCACCCTACCAACTCAGGGAAGCTGTGAAAATGCTGAAACAAGGAAACAGATCACAAACAAAAAAAATGGAGGACAAAAAGAGACTGAACATAGAGTTCAAAACCACACTTATAAAGTTTTTCATGAATTTCCTAGAAAAGGCTGATAAAATAAACAAGACCTTTGAGGATATGAAAAGGGATCAACTAGAAATAAAGAATACATTGTCTGAAATAAAAAATATTATACAGAGTCCTAAAAACAGAAGGGAAGATCGCAAGAATCAAGTCAAAGATTTGGAACAAAAAGAACCAGAGGACACTCCTCCACAGAAGCAAGAAGACAAGAGAATGCAGAAAGTTGAAGATAGTGTAAGAAACCTCTGGGACAAATTCAAACGAACCAACATCAGAATTATGGGGGTCCCAGAAGAAGAGAGAGACCAAGATACTGAAAATATATTGGAAAAAATAGTGACAGAAAACTTCCCCCACCTGGAGAAAGAATTAGATTTACAAGTCCAGGAAGCACACAGAACCCCAAACAACAGGAATCCAAAGAGGACCACACCAAGACAAATCATAATTAAAATTCCAAGAGCAAAAGACAAAGAGAGAATATTAAAAGCAGCAAGAGCAAAGAAGGTAGTTACCTATAAAGGAGCACCCATACGATTGTCAGCTGATTTCTCAAAAGAAACCATGCAGGCCAGATGGGAATGACAAGAAATATTCAAGGTGATGAATAGCAAGAATCTATAGCCAAAGATAATCTACCCAGCAAAGCTATCACTCAGAATCAAAGGCCAGAAAAAGAGCTTCACTAATAAAAATAAAAATAAAAAAGCTAAAGGAGTTCATCACCGCAAACCAGAACTATATGAATTGCTGAAAGGGGTTCTTTAGGAAGAGGAAGAAGATAAAGATAAAAATTATGAACAACAAATACGTAACTATCAACAAGTGAAACTAAAAACCAAGGGAATTAAAAATCCTGATGAACAATATTAACTGGTGAATATAATTGAATCAGAGGTATGGAAGGAGAGTGAACTGATGATTCTTGGGAAAAGGGGGAGTGGGGGATGTGGGAAGAGACTGAACATAAACTGTACACCTATGGATGAGGACAATGAGGGGTGGGGAAAGGGCAGAGGGTGGGGTGGGAACCTGGTGGAGGGGAGCAATGGAGGGGGGAAAAATCAGAAACATTTGTAATAACATGAACAATAAAGATTTATTTTTTTTTAAAAAGAAAGAAACTGTCGTTATTCACAGATGACATGATATTCACAGATATATATATAAAAAAAAAACCTAAAGAATCCACCAAAAAAAAACTACTAGATTTAATAAATAAATTTGGCAATGTACCAGGATACAAAATTAACACCCAGAAATAGATGGAATTTTTATACACCAATAATTAATGCTCAGAAGGAGAAAAAACAAAAGCCCACTTACCATTACAACAACAAAAAATTAAGATATTTAGGAATAAACTTAGCCAAGATAGTAAAAGTCCTGTACTATGAAAACTATAGGACATTGAAAAAAAGAGATAGATGAAGAGGAGAAACCAAGATGGAGGCATAGGTAAACGCCTAACTGCAGCCTTACACAACAATTTCAAAAAAATACAACTAAAATACAAAATGGACATTATCCAGAACTACAGGAAAGTTGACTGACTGGAAATTATACACTAGAAGGAAAAAGGAAACCAGAAGGAAAATCAGAGGAGCTGTAAAAGCCTAAGGTACGGAGACACGGTACACACGTGGGAGAGGACGGAGTCGGAGAGAAGGGGAGGCTGAGTGCCTGGCTGGCGTTCCCTAGCAGGAAGGAGATAAAAGCTCTGGACTGTGCTGAACCCTAGTTCCGACAGCATTGAACCCCAGTTCTGGGAGAGACCCTGGGGACCCATGCTCATACAGAGGGAGTCTGAGCTGTAAGGCGGAAATTCAGGGGAGTGGCGAAAGGCAGAGCCCCCGGAGGCGTGCACATTGCTTGCAGAGGACAGACTGTTGACTCTGCTGCTAGATTGCCCTGGCGGGAAGGAGACAAAAGCTCCAGACTGTGCTGAGCCCCAGCTCCTACTGCACTGAACCCCAGTTCTAGGCCAAACCCTGAGGACTCAGGCTCATACAGAGGGAATCTGGGCTGTAAGGCAGAAACTCAGGGGAGCCAAGACCGGTTTGGCTCAATGGATAGAGCGTCGGCTTGGGGACTGATGGGACCC